ACCAGTTGGGCCGCCCGGGCCCCGGGTTACCAGCCTCAGGCTACCTGTGCAAGGACAAGGGAAGGTAAGGTCCCAGAAAAAAAAAAAAAAATCCAAAAAATCTGAAAAAATACTAATGTTATATAGAAAAATTACCTAAGCAACTTTTGCCTCAGGCTCACATCGATTTAAAATATAAAATCTTTTTGGCCCGGCCAGGCAAGTGACCCCGGGCCACTCTGGTAGCCTAGTTTTTGCAGGGATTTAGCCTGGGTGGCACGGAGGTCTGGTTGTACTTCATAGAGGAGAACTGACCTCCACTAACAGTGTTCAGTTTCCTCAATGCCCGAATCTGGACATGTTTGTGGACAGGTGCGCATGGGGAAAACTCGTCACTGCTAGTGGGACTTTACCCCTGGAAGCTGGGACATACCTTTACACCTCTTTAGAATTTGCGTCTTGCATCTGAAAATCGGAAAATTTGGTGGAAATTTTGGAATATTTTGGAAACTTTGGAAACATTTTGGGAAATTTTGGGACATTTGGGAAATTTGGGAAATCTTGGAACGATCCGGAAAATTTTTGGAACATTTTTCGAAAATGGCAAAATGCAGAGTTCAAAGTTGGAAGTGATTACAGCAGTGAATGTGAATTGTGATTGCATCTCTCTGCATGTACCTGGTCCCCTCCAGTGGCACTGTTGGATGTACCTGGTCCCCTCCGCGTGTACGGGCACAGTTTGGGGAAATACTGGTGATTTGAAAAAGAAAAAGAAAGTCGTAGTGTCATTGCACACACGTATCAAAATGGGTGAAAAAACTCAAAAAAAATTAGTAAAAATCGAAAAAGGATAGAAGGCAAAATTGCTGTGAAAGAGCGAGGCTCGTCGCAGCCTGCAGCCAAACGCCAACATTCTGTAAGTACACGATTTCACATCCAATGCACATTCACATCCAATGTTGGCGTTTTGCCGGTGGTCTTCCCAGGGCCTATGGCTTTTGCGATCCCGATTCCCGAAGAGACTTTGGAAGAAGGTGTAATGTGTCATCTTCTCGTTCTCAGTGGCAGCCCACCGCCCAAAAGAAGGCGGCCCAAAATAGACGAGAGCAAGGTGCCTTTTTTTTTTTTTTTTTTTTTTTTTTCAATTTGGCAGTTGTCCCTGAGGTAAAAGGTCAATTGTCAGAGAAGGAAAAAAAAAAAAAAAAAGGCTGAAAAATCCAGAAAAATCCAGAAAAATCCAACAGTTGTTTGGTCCCTTTTTTTCTGCATAACATACCATGCTGTAAGTTTCTTTTCAGTTTTGTTTTTTTAATACTTAAAAGTTAAAAGTTGGCAGCCCGCCGCCCAAAAGAAGGCGGCCCAAAATTTGGTAGGTCAGTTCAGGCAGGTGAATCCAGTACACACAATGTTGCAAAATGGTCATAATCCCAGCAGGCATTTGAAATTCTAAAGGTGTAAATGACAAAATGTAACTTTTGTTTTTTTTTGTTTTTTTTAATGGAGCTACTTGACAAGAATTTGACGGAGAAGAAGAAGAAGAAGAAGAAGAAAAAAAAAACATACATTCCATGGAATAGTAATAGACTCCCACACTCTCCACCTGAAAAGAGAGGCAATTTGTGTACTCATGTGCCCTCGCTCTGCTCCGCAGGCTCTGTACCCCCTCCCACAGCAAACGCTACCCAACCTACTAAATCTTTGACTGAAATAGCATAACTTCATTCATTGTACGCCCGGAGCTATTCACCCATGTGCGGGCGTAGACCTATGAATCCAAAGCTCTTCATTCATTGTACGCCAAAGCTATTCACTCGTTGAAGCCAAAGCTTTTCATTCATTGTCAAACCAAAGCTATTCGCTCGTTGAAGTCAAAGCTATTCACTCATTGAAGCCAAAGCTATTCATTCATTGAAGCCAAAGCTATTCATTCAAGTCGTTGAAGGCTTGAAGCCAAGGCTATTCATTAGTTTAAGGCTTTAAGCTATTCATTCATTGAAAGAATTGTGAGCTACCTTCTTCCCCCGGATACAACGTACGGTCATTATCGCTGTGTATTTGAGGCATCTTTCAGTCTAGATACAGCTATAATGACCGTACATTGTATTCGGGGGAAGAAGGTATCCTGATCTATGAAGCCGAAGCTATTCATTCATTCCTAGGGAAGACTAAAGTTAGCCTGCGTATGGAGACGAGGCTTTGTCATCAACGGCTTCTCTTCAGTGGGAGACTGCAACTGGAAGCATTGCCGGTCACATTCACTCACTGAGAGAATTGCGTTGCATTATAGCCGGGTCATAGTACCTGTGGGAGTTGGCTTAAACCACCACTACCTTTCAGTGTTGGAAAAACTTGGAATATAACATATACTCCATTCTTCAGGGGCTGCGCGCTGACGGTGTAGTGACTACCATTAGTAAATTTCCATCCACCGCTGCCGTTTCATTCCGGCCTCGGAAACGAGTGGGGATAGGGGACACTTCCTGCAGCCAAGGTACGGGGAAGCTAATGTTATTGGCTGCAGACCCCTTTCGGAGGCCGGCCGTCGCCGATTCATCTTATCTACGGCACTTCGCCGCCTCAATTTTCGGAGAGGTTGGAAACACGTTCTCCAGTTGCCTGGGGGCATGTACTGGTGGTTTGGTGTTTTTTTTTTTTTTTTTTTTCACATAAAGGAACTGCCCAAGCGGGTGCTAGGGGTGCTGATAAGAGCAGGCACCACCATCACTGTCGGGGGGCTCCATCTATTGGTGGTTTAAACCACCAGTACATCTGAAAAAGCAGATTGAGCCTCTCCTTAGAAATAGGGAGGCCATGAACCGTTAATTCATTTTATCTACGGCCCATGGCCTCCAAAATTTTAGGAGAGGCACAATCTTCTTTCTCGGCTGTACTAGTTAGTGGTTTAAGGCAACCAGATGGTGATGGAATTGGTCACCGGGGGCAAATTTAGCCCCGAGAGCACTGGCCAGTACGGGCATCAGTCAATGGGGGCAAATTCTGCCCCAGGCCATTGCTCAATCGGGGCATATGCTGCAAGGGAGTACCCGAGAGTTTTTGCAAGCTATGGTCACCTCTACTACCACAGGCCAAATGCGAGGTGTGCACCCGTCCAAGTCTGATCGGTTTTTAAATTTTAACTTCCTATCAATAGAAGATACGTGTTCGTGTGCATGTGTCATGTATGTATGTGTGCACGCATGTATGTGTGCACGTGTTCGTGTGCATGCATGTATGTGTGCACGTGTTCGTGTGCCTGTCTGTGTGCATGCATGTATGTGTGCACGCATGTATGTGTGCACGCATGTATGTGTG